GACTTTGAGAGTCTCAAGCAAGAACCTGGATGAGTTCAGAGAGCAAAGGGGAAAGGCCAAGCTAAAAAATGGTCACCCATAAAGATTTCTAGACAGCTAGAGGATTAAATAAATGAAGCTTTTTGGAAATAACTTCACACACCAAACAGAGATGTCAGTAGAAATATGATGCCCTCCACATTGTTGGTGCATGACAGACAAAGGTCACTGCTGCTATTGAGGTGCAAATAGAGAAATAAAGCAGACCTGAGCTCTGTGTCCTGATCCTTAAGAGTCCAGGCTTCCAGTAACGATCAGTGTGACTCTCAGGACTCCCACTAGGTCAAATATAACAAACCACAGATTTGCAATTGAAGGAAAACACTGAAACAAAGGCACATTGTATCACCAATTCTTAACTTTTAATGGACTAGTGACCTTGGCTGCTTCCCTTTATCCCTCTCTTCCTTGACTGTAGTTTTAAATTTTATTCATTTATTTTTTTCTCATTGACTTTGGGTCACTCAGTTCTCATTAACAGCATAGAATAGAAGAGACACAAATTAGGCTCAAATTGGCCAATTTCCTTCATTTGGGTAAGGCAATCAGACAATCTCATTTAATAATTTCTTGTGTAGTTTTCTGTGTCATCCATGTGTTGTATCGCAAAAACATGTATGGGTTCCCCCCGCCCCCTGAGCACTGAGTTAAGACATGTCAGCTACTAAAACTCAGCAGTGATGATTATGGGAAATAGCAAAAGACATGTCAAAGAGGTAGATATCAACTGGACCAAGTTATCCCAGATTGGACAGAAGAACAGAGGAGGAAAAATATCAAAGATCATGGAGATACCATGTAGGGGAGGTGTGCCACCACAGTTAGAAGGCATCCTGTTACTACCCATTTGGCTCCATTTTCTTTATGGTTTTATTGATTGGCAAAGATATACATTTCTTTTAATTTTAAATGCAGAGTTTTAGAGTTGAGGGACAGGGTGGGGGAGAGAGAGAGAGATCTTCCATCTGTTGGTTCACTCCTCAAATTGCCACAGTGTCTGGGGAAAGGTCAGATTGAAACCAGGAGCCAGGTCTCCCATTTGTGTAGCAGGGGCCCAAGCATTTGGACCATTTTTCTTTACTTTCCTAGGTTCATTAAAAGGGAGATCACAAATGGAGCAGCCAGAATTTGTACTGGCTCCCATATAGAATTCTGCCATTGCAGGCGGTAGCTTAACCCACAATGCAACAATGCCAGCCCCTGAATTTAGTCTTTAGATAACAGAATATTCAATGGGTCAATGATTGAATTTAAGAGGAATTAATAAAGCACCTATACAGCACCACATTTTGAGGAAGGTAAAAGCACTTCTCTTATATATAGTAGTTATATAGATGTTGTTGGGCTGCAACATTTGTCTGCTTTTAAAAAGGAAGTTCACTTGTCTGCAGATTGATGCATTAGAGATGTTGAGTCACCAAGGAGATGAACTGTACCGGTTACTGGACCTTTGCTTCTAAGCTCCAAATCACTCCTTCATTGTCCTGATGCTGGCCATGAAGCATTTCTCCATTATACAATGTTAATTTTTTTTTCTGTAGAGAGATACTGGAAATGAAAAGGAAATTCTTCCTGGTCCTGGTTATCTCATCTTATTCCTACAGTACAAGGTGACCGGGAGCTAACATGACCCTAGTACACTCAGCACCAGCAGGTTTCATTAGCATCATCCCTCTGTATAACGTGTCTTGGCAACTGCCAGGGCACCTCAAAGGAGTTTTCACTGGTGAATCAAACTTGTCTGCCATTCAGTGAGCCATGACCATGGTGCCTCAAAGGGGGCATATGATCTGTGTTCCTGCAGGAAGAATGGTTTCACTAGGATTTCAGCATTGGCCTCTGAAGTAGTGGCTCTTCCCTGTGTCTGCTATTTCTGTAATATTACCCTCTAATTAGTAACCCCAGTAGGCAAGCCCCTCTTGGACTTATTAATGCTTTTCATTAAATTTTCCCTGTTGAAATTACTGTATGGTTTCTTTCTCCCGATTGGAACCTGCCTGATTCAATAACTCTTTCATCTTTAATGTAACAACTTTTAAAAGAAGTAAATTAATTTCTTTATTATTATTATGACTTATTGAGTGAAATATGAGAAATGTATTGAATAAGGAGGCATTGGTGAAAGGTAAGAAATGAATTGATGATGTGATAATCAGCTTTCCAAAGAGATAGCTATACATTTTAAAAGATTGAGACCCTATATTATTTTCAATGTAAAGAATAAAGCAAGATTGTACCAAATGTTTTAGCAGTATCATACAACAAATAAAGGACAGCCCCCAAAATGCAGAAAATGAAAAGATGATTCTGTGCATGTAAAGGGTGATAAGGAAGAATGTGGTTGTGTGGGTGTGCATGTATCATGATGTCAAATTCAGGTAGTATTGACTTATAGACTATAAATGGCCCTGGATGTCCTTTTGGCCAGTACATGAAACACCTGATTTGGAATGGTCTTGGCTTGCAGTGTAAGGGAAACATTAGACTGTCTCAGCCTGAGGCACTGATTTTTTTCCTCTCACCATTCATCCAGAATGAATCTCCAATCAGTTTATTTGAGGCAGATTCTAAAGCATCAGTCAATTGTAATCACAAGATCTCATACACTACCCTCTCTTTACAGCACAATCATCATCTTCCTCAGCAAATGTACCATTACAGACAATATGATCAATAAAGAAGTGGATGCAGTTAAATAGAGCAGCAAAGCAGTGCACATTAATGAGAGGCAAGGCAGAGCAATGGGAGCCCGTCCTTCCCCAAGGAAAAAAATTGCACCCTAGGATATCAAACTGTGTTTCTCTTTGGGTTTCCATAGCCCATGGAACTGTCAATATTAGAGGAAGAATATTGTGATGTTAGGGACCACTCAAAGGGATAACATCAAAGGACAACAACAAAAAAAGAGGGCATAACTTGTTCAGAGAGAAACAACAGAATTACAGTGATCATGACCAGGTGTCTTGCCTGATGCCACTGTGTTAAAAGTGCTTCTTTGGCCAGAGCCTGGGGACAGCTGAAATTGGATTGCTGTAAAGAGCTGTCTTTTAACCAGAGGATGAATAAAGTGTGACCAATAAAACATCAGATGACCTTTCTGGTGGTTTCTTTTCAACTACTCTGGATTCTAAATGATGAGTCTTTAGAGTTTTGCTTGTTTTTAGCAAAATTTTAACATAGGATCCTCTTGTTTCCCCCAAGGAAAAGTAAATATCATTCAAGTAGGAAATAGGGACTCTAATGAGTCCCTAGGTCATCCATGGAGAGGAGTATGCACTGTGACTAGTCACTACCACCAGAAGCGTGGGTGAATTCTCTGCCCTACTGACCCAGTGCTGTAGTGGTGCTTCTGTGTGCTTCACTCACTCCTCAAGGGTACTTCTGCACTGGGCCTTGCTCTGGATGTTATGATTAACATGTCTGCAGTGGACAGACATCTCTTTTTGTTCCTAGGGATGTAAATAAAGCTGTTCTGGAGTGTTATGTCTTAACCACCAACTTAATGACACAGGCTTCCCAAAGACCAAGGGGAAATCATGTAATAAAAGTTAATAGAGAAAGAAATATTTGCTCTTGGAACTTATGCAAGTTAAAGAGGATCTTGAAATTTTGAAAAGTCTATGTTAATTTGGCAGAAGTAGATGAAAGCATTTAGAACAGATATGGTACACACAGAGGGGTTTTGGAATAGCATCTGAAACATTGTAAGTCCAGTACTCTCAGCCATTACATTATTCATCTTTCAGAGGTTACATTATTCTTGTATCCTCTGGCAGCAGCATCCTTTGTAGGGAATTTGGATATTGTGTTTAGTCATCAGCAGATCAGAAAAACAACCAATATGGTTCCATCCACATCATGGCCTTCAGGTTAGCAAGGGAGAACTATTGTTGATCAAAAGTGGTCTGTGACTGAACAAAAAGATAGCAAAGATGGCAAGACTCATGAAGCATTGAAGGAATATTCTAACCACATCAGTGGTTTGAAGCACAAGGTTTACTGCCCAATCATGGCATGTTCCTGTAGATTTTCTTTCCCTGTAGTGAGGATTGACTTATGTCAGTTTATTCACACTGCTGTTAGGAACTCATTGAAACAATTGCATAAACTTGTAAGACAGGGGATTGATAAGAGGGTACAGTCTGTGGCCAGGTATCAGGACAAATATCTGATCCCCAAAGGGATCATATACCTCATGTTGACGCTGTGACACTGTCCTCTAAACAGCCAACAAGTACTGGAGTCAGATTTATTCATAGACAGTATTTGCTTATTCACTGTATTGTTGATGTATGCTGCATACTAACTCACATGAAAACAATACTACCCATACATTGTATCCAGGATTTGGACAGTTCTTTGTAATTTAATATACCATGTCCCCTTTCAGGCAATCTTGGGCAATTAAAGCATTTATTACCAAACTAATAAGGTTTTCTAAGTCATTTTGTTATATTTGGGTTGAAGGTCACCTCCTAATTACTCACTAAAATCACAGTCTAATACTAATGCTTGTTAATCCATGTGCAAATAGATGCATCTCAAGCTAAATATAGTTTCCAAGCAAAAACAACCAAAAGATACTTTCTTTATTCAAAGTCACCATCATTTGTGAGGCATACCCTCAACTGCTTTCAAGAGGGAAAACGATCAAACTCCAAATATTAAGCATACACATTGCAAAAAAGTCTTGATTTTTAGAAGATTTAAAAATAATAACAGAAGAAACAAAAATCATACAACTAGGCATCTGTTAGGAAAATGCAGATTCTATATAGTGGTAATATTTATCTCTCAACACTGCAACATTTTTTAAAGGTTATTTTTTATTTAAAAGACAAAATTACAGAGAGAGAAAAAGAGACAGAAAAAGAGATCTTCCTTCTTCTGGTACAGGCAGAGGCTTAACTTACTTCATCACGGTGTCAGCCCCATAACTGTATCATTAAAATGACTAGGGTGTGCTCGCTTTGGCAGCACAGACACTAAAATTGGAATGATACAGAGAAGATTAGCATGGTCCCAGTGCAAGGATGACATGCAAATTCATGAGATCTTCCATATTTTTTGACAATTTTTTACCTTGTGGGAGACACTCCAGCGGCAGCATGATAGACTCACGCAAGACACCCATTGTGAGTCTGGAAGGGAGAGCAGAGGGGAGGGGAGGAAACTTGGGAGAGGGTGAAGGGAGACCCCAGCATCAATTAAACTGTATCAAAAATTTCAAAAACAATGACTAAGGTATGGCCCAATTTTGTGATGTGGTAAATTAAGTGGACATTTGCAACATTAGCATCCCATGTCTGAGTACTGGTTCGAGTCCCAAGTGCTCTGCTTCCGATCCAGTTTCTTGCTTTTTTGCCTAGGAAGACAGCAGGTGATGACCCAAGTGCTTGGGCTACTACCACCCGTGTTCCTTTCTCCTGATTTTGGCCTGGGTCATTCATGGTTCTTGTAGGCATTTGAGAAGAGAACCAACAGGTGAAGGAACTCCCTACCTGTTTTTCACTATCTCTGTATTACTCCACCTTTCAAATTAAAAAAAAATCTTGAAAAATGAGTAGGGTATATTTTTAAAAGATTTATCTATTTTTTATTGGAAAGTCAGATTTACAGAGAAAAGGAGATACAGAGAAAAAGATCTTCCATCTTCTGGTTCACTCTCTGAGTGTCCACAATGGTCAGGGCTGAGCCAGTCTAAGTCAGGAGCAGGAGCTTCTTTCAGGACTCCCACACAGATGGCAGAGTCCCAAAGCCTTGGGACTGTCCTCCCAGACCACAGGCAGAACCTCATGGACTGTTGGTATTGCATGTGATAACAAAGACAGAAACTCTTTTGGAGGGCATCAGTGACTTCACATTGCAATTGCTGGGCCTTTAATGGACAGTCATGATGGAGGCTGAGTAGCAATAGCATGCTGTTAAACAGAAGCAGGTTAAACAGAACAGGTACTTTCAGGGAGAAATAACACAGAAAGAGAGGATTGCTGTATCTTTATGTACCAACTTGAGTGGAGTAAAAGATGTCCAGATCGCTGGTAATGCATATTTTGTGAAGATAGTTCTAGAACCTATTAACATTGGAGTCAGTAGACTGAGTAAAGATGCCTTTACCAATAAAAGTAAGCATTACTGAGGGTCCAAATAGAAGAAAAGGGCAGAGAAAGCCAAAACTGCTCTTAAGTTGGAAAGCTGTCTCTGAACTTAGACCTTGGGCTCCTGGTTCTTGGACTTTTGGACTCTGGCGATCGTATCAGCAGCCTCCTCTTTTGCAGGCCTTTGGACTCAGAGGAAAGTGGGTTCCCGTGTCCCCAGTCCCTCAATGGCACTACTGTGGGACCTCTGCCAAAGGTTTAAATACACCTTCTTGGTCTTGTTTCTCTGGAGAAGCCTAATGCATGGGGAAATGCTGGATTCAGTTTAGAACCAAGAGTTCCTCTCAGACACCCACAAGTTACTTACCAAAATTGTTTGCATTGTTGGGGGTGTGGCGTGGTGGGGAGAAGGTGGATGGAAAATGTGACTTTGATATAAAGCTAGGCTTCTTTCACTTCTGAGTGGCTTCAGGGCTTTCAATAAACATTTCATTGCGGATTTCACCATATCTAATAAAGAGAACCAAGACTCCATTTGTAAAAATGTAAGAAGGTCATGTTGCACTTTTTTAATAGCTCATGTTAAATAATTCCATATTATCAGAGCTCTATATTTTAAAAAAATCATACAGAGTATAATAGCCATTAAATAAGACGACAATTTAATCCTGAGAATCATAGAAATATATTATTTTCCTATTTCTCATCATATTATTAATCAAGCAAATTAAGTTTTTACTGAAGTGTCTCCAAATGGAAAGTGGCAATTTATTGCACCTGCTAGTGTTAGAAATTATAGAATTAAAAATTCTCTTGGTAACTGTGTTTCCAAAATCAAACATCTAGATGTTTATGTCATAAAGACCAACTACCCAAATAGTTTACTGCTTTGTACAATTTTAATTGCTATTTTGTTATGATTCAAAATGCGTTCCAGTTAAGTGATTAAGTAATTTGAAAAATGACACTGTTTTCCTCCTCTTCTAAAATAAGATGGAACATTGTTAATTCACATTTTGATAATACTGGCATGACTTTCAGGCTTAGCCTGGGTTCTCTTCTCCATTTCTGTCTGGCGTTTACAATAACTTGAAAATGAGTTGGTCATAATGATCAAAGAAACACAAAAGACTTAATGTGTTGATATTATAGGTGTTTCTCTTAAATTATATTTAAAGAAAGAAACTTGGTAAAAATGCCAATAAAAGTAGCTCATTACTTTTGCAGTAGGTCCCTAAGATGCTGGCCGGCCTTAACTGAATTTTCTGTCCCTAACATTACTGATCATTTGTATGTTGCATGTAACAACACGTAGCCATGAAAAACAAAAACTTAAAAAATATATTCTTGGTACTTGTAACTTTTCAAGGTAAAGGAGTATTTGCCCCACATATTACTACTATATAATTCTTTGACCCACAATTGAATGAATACAGTGGGAAACAATCATTGTATTTTAGTTAATCTGAAAAAAAAGTGCTTGTCTCTCTCACTGATTCAAAAAGCACCTGTCTTTTTTTGGGGGGCGAGGGTTGTTGTTGTTAAATAAGCCTTATGAAGTAAAAGTTCTAGTTTCATGTGAACACTAGGCAGTCCAAAAATTGTATTGATTAAATGTGACAGTGTACTGATAGTTACATTTAAAATTTATATCTAAAAATTGTACAGAATGTACAAAAATTATGTATAAAATTGATATTCAAAAATTGGAATGCTTGTCTAGTCAAAGGAAATATGTTGGAAGGATATGTGTTTAGAATTTTTGGATTACACAACACAGGATCCAAATATGTTATTTTAATTTTAACTCAAATTTTGTCTTTTTGTTTGTTTTTGCTAAAATGCCTATTCATTGACCATTTCTTGCTGTGTATGATCTATGCATTTGGTCCTTGCCTAGGAGGCCTCCGAGAATTGTAGAAATGGAGCCTGAGAGGTTTTTCTTTCTTCTGATTTAGACAATAGAAGCCTGTGTCTTTGAAATACTCATGTTTACAGGCAAGTGGCTCAGTGATTATGATGTCTTCATCCCACATTAGAATGTATGGGTTCAGTTTCCAGGTTGGACTTCTGACTAGTTTTCTGATAACTCAGATCCCGGGAGGCAGTGGGTAATGATTTAAATAAGTGGGGAAACCTGAATGGGGTTCCAGGATCCTGCTTTGGCTTCAGGCTGATCTTGGCTTTTGCCTCTCAAATAGACAAATAGGTTGTTTTTAAAATTCCAGCTTACTGAAGAACTGTGACTGCACCTTGTGTCAATCCAGCCTCTCTCTCAGACTAGGGTGTTCTGACTTAGTCTACAAAGGCTGCTTTAGCTTTGATATTAGAGGGAACTTTGATTGAGATGACAGCTTTGACTTGGAAAGTCTGTGTAAGATAGGAAGTGGCCACTGAAAAAGAGGTACAGTGCAATCCGTATCGGAAATTTCCTCGTTATGTAGGACTCTAAAGTTTGCATATGTTGACAAATTGAATTTAATTCTGGATAATTTAGGCATTTAGATATGTTGCAAAAATTTATGGTTGGCAAAGTCATTTCAGAGGGGGCAAGCATTTGGTGCAGCAGCTAAGATGTCATTTGAGATGCCCAAACCCTGTATTAGAGCATCTGATGCGAGTCCTAGCTACTCTAGTGTGGATCCAGCTTCCTGCTAGTGTGCACACTTGGAGGTAGAAGATGATGACTTAAGGATCTGTGTCCCTACCACCCCCCATGCAGATACAGGTTGTTGGCTCTGGCCTGGTCCACTCCTGGCTGTCACAGGTATTTAAAGACTGAACCAGAATGTGGAAACTACTCTCACTGTCTCTCCCTGCCTTTCAAAGTAAAAATAAATAAATACATTTTCTATGTCTGGTCAGATGGCAATTCTGTTCACGATGTATAAATACTTTTAAAGAGTCCCAGATAAAAATGGAAGAGTTTAGAGTTGTTAGAATATGGAAACACTTTTCAAAACATATGGGCATGGGTGGGTCTTTCCATGTATTGGGTGTATCTCAGTAAACACACACTTGAATGATGGCTCCCACAAGACAAAAGTTTTTCAGTGATGTGGCTGTGTTTGTCCAAGAACAGCTTATAATTTTGCATGGGTCCTATTCAGGGCCCTATTTCTGATACGCCGGTTGGCTCCATTAGGCCAATTCAGATAACAGATAAAATTCACAGACACTCTGTCTTCAAGCAAATTGACAATCTTGAAGTCAAGTAACAGTGCCTTCAGAGAGCTTCTTGTGAGACTGAATTTTGGTAATTGACACCAATATCATAACAGCATTAAATCACCCATATTTTCATGGCAGATAAGCTTAGTCTGCTTGTAAATATGTTCAAGAATATCATGTAGGTGGCAGAAGAATTATGCTATAACTTTTACAGCTAATAGATCTTTATTTAAGCAGAGGACCTCTAAAATTTAATTAGGCATATGCAAGCAGAGATTGTTCTGAGGGCAAAAATACACCAATTTTTACAACTGCTTTGTGGAAAGATATCAGATTGAAATGTAGTCTTCTGTTACTTTGTCAGTAGAAAGGATTTCTGATAGAAAAGCAAGTATATAACCTAAAAAAATAAATAAAAATTAAAAAAGACAGGCTGGCAGAGAGCATGCCTGGCGCTCCCCGGGTAAGAGGACTAAAGGGCCCATTCCTGAACCTTGTGCACCTTCTTTAGCTGCTGCAAGTGAATGCCTCTCCCTTCTCTTCCTGTCCTCCTCCTTCCTGAATCATGGAGCGTTAGTCAAAAAGCTGTGTTGCATCCAGCCGTATGCAAGAGGGAGATACGGTGGTCGCTCTGTCATCAGAGATTTTTTAGGGAAAACTCCCTCACTTGTTCCAAACAATGTCCCCTCTCTGCTCGCAGCACAAAGTCTGACTGCATAAGGATAATCTCCCTCTTTCCTCAGTGTACAGCTTGCGTATTCTAAGTTGTAATAGGGTCTTGCCTTGGGTACAAATGCCT